TTTATGGTTCAATATAGGAATTTTTATCAAATTTTTCGTGGTTACGAACCTTTCGTTTGTGTATGCAGGGGTACTGTTTAAACGATTATGTAAGTTAATTTGCCGTCTGGTTGTCCAAACTGGGATATTATTTGTTCTAGGTATTTGATCAGCTACGGGGTCAGTATAGTATGAAATGCTTTGTCGGTCGTATATTCTCACTTGGATTACAAACCCTAACGTTCTAATATTAATTCCACCAAGTGAAGTGCAAAAATCCAAATCATTGAAGTCCACCTTATCACAACCCGCACACCCGATTACCAATATATACATGAACTTACGGTTACAGCTTAACAGCTGGCCTCTGTAGCTCAGTTGGTTAGAGCGCTGCACCGGAATCGCAGGGCCGTAGGTTCAATTCCTACCAGAGGACCTTGTGCTGCATTTTTCGCAGTCATTTAAAATCCATACAGTCCTTACAAATTAGTTGGTCACAGGTTTCGCAATAAACTTTCAGTCTCTTGCCCGCATGTTGACTGCAATACATTCTGTCCATGATTTTCGTCCGATTTTCTGGCTTTGATAACTCTTCCATGGTTAGAACAGAGTGACCGTTGTGTCCTCGATATTTATTATGGTCTGCCAGACATTCTCGGCACAGAAATTTTTCACAGGTGACGCAACGAGCAACCGAGTACTGTAGCTTTTTCTACAATTATGTGAGCACGGAACGCCTATTCCGCGATCCAGTACGGCCGTCGTTTTTACCATGTTATAGATGAAATGATTTCGTGGCATGTCGGCGACCTGTTTGTCGGGATCGAGTATAAACGTCGTGCGACAATTTGGACATGGAAACTCTCGAATAGGTCGACCGCGACGTGCTTGTCACAGCATGTTTGCACAATGCCTTCCAAACAAGCTTTACAGAACGAGTGGAAACAAGGAAGGGTTCTGGGGTCTTTTAACACCTCCAGACATACAGTACATCGCAGATTTTCTTCCAATTTGTCAATCGGGTTCGTTTTTGAAGCACAAGCCATTTAAAACGAGGTAAATTTCCGAGAAAGAACAGACCCAATTGTCTTAGCCTCGACAATATTTAAATGTGAACAACACGTACGAGATTCTAGTGGATTACTATCATTTATCAAGTGACATGAATAAATTCCTGCTAAAATATTTGTTTATAGTATCAAATTACAGTCGCATTGCGAAATGCAAATCCCGTCGTCATAAATTATTTAAATCCCATCAGATCATTCTGTGGCAGTTTTTCTGGGCCACGGTAAGAGATATACCTTACCACAGGTGAGGAAAACTTTTTTGCTTGGCTTAAAAACCCAGTAATGATAGTATGATACTGAATGCAGATGCCATGTCATGTTTAGTTTGGGAAATTGCATGGTACTACTAGTACTATAATATTAAAAATGCCAGCTGAGCAACTATTAGTATCATTGCATGCAAGGTTGAAATATATTTCTCCTTTTTTACGTGACATTGCCATTGGCTTAACCAAAATTATTCATTGAAAGATGGAACATTCATTCTTCTAGATTGTCGCAGATTTAAGCGCGTGTCTACGTTGCATATTTGTGTAATTGTTCTTTTACAATATAACAATCGGTAAGAATTGTTTCTAAAACCTAATTTTTCAGTTGTACATGCGTTCCACAGAAAGATATCTGCCTATCATCAGGCAATATACACATGCAGAGGACGCGGAAGCGTTTCGAAATTAAAGTAAAGGGGCATTGGCCAAAAGGGGCACTGTTGTATAATTATGACCAAAATGAAACGTTTTTATGTTGTTCACAAGCCGAACGAAAATTTTTGAAAATATGGAGTCTCTATATACTACTGCAAAAATGGCACTTTCTTTCCAGCAAAAGAGGGTGTTTTATTCAATAAATACTTTTTTCGTTCTTTAAATGGGGGGTTAGGTTGCCAACATATATGGCCACCTTTAGTAGCTGGAAATCTTAGTTCTGTAACCTTTTTTTGCTTAATTTTTGGCCTATCAATGTTTTCATGGTTGAAAAGTTATTGTATCAAATTGCGGCCAGAAGAATCTAATTCGCATTTGAATTGGGCTCAGAAGAATCCAATAAGTTATAACAATCTACCTGTACTTGTTTTAATCTATTGTCAAGAAATCTTTACAGTATATCACTGAGATTGTCTATAATAAGCACCTCACCCCACTTTAAAACCTATAGCTCCGTTAAGAGCTTCAAGTGCCGTGCATATGCGGTACGGCGGCTGCCATGGGTATATTGAATAATCCTGTGAATAAAACTACACGAATTACAATCGCTCAACCTTCAAAAGAGGTAGATAAAGGAAATTTAAAGGTGATGTAAAGTCCGTAATGTAAACAAACGCTTTGTTTACATTTTTAACTCAGTGCTACAGTTGTAAAATATGATTAGATATATATTATACTGAATTTTTAACACTCTTCTGGTTCGCTATGCTTGTAAATTAATAGAGACTAGAGATTCAATTCAAAAAGTTCGAAAGGTGGGAAATATTAACAACATTCCAATGGCCGGGTTCCGACCATTGGAATGTATAGGCCTGCGCAGAACTGAACGTATGCGCAGAACGGACTTTACGTCACCTTTAAACTTTTAGATTGGCTAAAATTAAGCAGTTGAAGGAGTTTCGTAGATGGAAATTTCGATCAGAAGATTATACAATTCTATAACTGTTTTATCAATTCTATAACTGTATCTATCTATTCCTTTAACTGTTCTATCGAGCGAGATCCCAAAGAATCCCGATATTTACCCATATCTTACATCACCCATGCACTAAATATGTACAAGAACTTGTGGTTAGAGGTCGACAACTGGGCTCTGTAGCTCAGTCAGTTTGAGCGCTGCACCGGAATCACGATTCCTGTCACAGGGCCTATAGTTGCATTTTTCGCAACTGCTCCTGGTTAGGTGTAAAATTAGGGACTTTAAGATTGATGTTTACGGCTGGGAGTAAGGCCTACAATTTCGACAGCTATTAAACAGTAGCTAATTGATGCTCAAATTTTAGTGCGCAAATTGCCCTAACTTCGAACAGCTATAGCAGTTGATTTCAAAATACGATTTGAAGTTTGCCGTAAACGTCAATCTTAAAGTCTCTATTGAATATAATCGTCCGCTCGTAATTTCCTCCAAAAATCCTTCAACTGTTAGTTCTATCCACCTGTATCCAGCGAGATACCCAAAAATCTCTAAAACCGTGGATGCTTTATTTTTTTATGAGACCTTACGATGAACTGATGAAGGACGGCAAAATGACGACGACCGGTGTTAATACACAATGATGATGTAAGAAAACCCATAGAAAACTTAAGAAATTAATAATTAATTACACAGCTGACTTTTTATTCACGACTTACGTCGCGGCCTTTTCCTCACTTCTATCTTGATTTGTTTCTTTTCTGTTAAACTTGTCCGAAGTGCATCACGGATGCGCTCTTCTCCAGTATATTTAACATTAGTAGAATCCCGAACAGGGACCAATACAATAGCATAGGTGGTACGTTGCTTTGCGTTGTTTCGTGGTATATTTAACTGTAGTTGAAGGTTGTAGTATTGCTGACCGTCTTCACCGGGGGACGTTAAGCCTTGCATGTCAAGGCGCCAGTCACTCCGGCCGTGGTTTTTCTTCATAGTTCCTCGATTTTCTGTCAGTGTACCATCGGAATATGTTTTAATGCGTTCCTCTGCACTTTTACGTTGTGAATGATTTGGTCTCAAAGTTGCTATAGCTGTGTTTTCACTTATAATATAGTTAACTTCTATGTTATTTATCTGGTCCACAAAGCAAGTTCGTTTTTCTTCATCAGCTAGGAGAGCACGCTTCCGAAACGCCTTACCTTGGCAGTTCTCCCAATCAACTAAGCCGCAATAACCGCAACTGTTACCAATTATGCACCAATAGTAATCTTCACCGTGGAAACCGCAAGGGTCGTCAACATTGCAGATTTCGTTTTGAGAGGATACGTTAGGAACAGGAGAGCAGTAGTCCCATTCACCATTTGTACTCGTATAGCAGTAGAAATATTCTTTCCGAGTATTGTAAGTACAGTCATCTAAGCACAGTTTCTTTAACGTGGAGGATGTGTACCGTGTGAGTTTCCTTTCAACAGGTCCACAATAGCCCCAGCTGCCAGCATTGTTGTAGCACCAGTAGTATTCGTATCCATGCTTGGCGCACAGATGGTCTGTCTTGCAAGTTTTTCCATAGTAGTCCAGGTTTAGCGAGGGAGAACAGTAGTCCCAGCCTAATTTTGTGTGGCAATAGTAATAACTCCGACCATGTTTTTTACAGCCATCATAACATACCTCATCGTGTGTGCTACTGACATGAGCTATGATATCGGATGCCAGCGTTGCATACACGATGGCCATCAAGAGGATGAAGTAGGTCACAAATCCTCCGCGCACAGACATCTTCCTACAGTCGGGTAAGGAACATATCATGTCAATTTTATACGAGGTTATGCAATAAATTAAGTTGACCCAGGGTGGAACACTTTAGCACGTGGGGACATAGCGTCAGTCCTTTTTTAAGTAATTTTCACTTGGAGAGTACCCTGGAGCCAGAGGGTATTTATTTTCGCCTGTTTTGAATAACCCTCTGGTGAAATTGGCTTAGTTTTCGGGTTCACATTCCACACATAACTTTCAAAAATGGAAGAAAAGAGTTGATTGGCTGCTGACTATAGGTTCGATAGACTACGTGTTCTGATTGATTATTGTAAACATCATAGCCTGTTCGCAGGCGTTTCGTGTTTTGATTGAATTGAAACAGTTGAATTTTGAAATGTCTATATTATTAAATAAACGAACAAATGTTGAAAGAAGCAGTTTTATAGGCTGCATCAACAGATAGATTGATAAATTTCCTGAATTAAAAGTTTAACGGAGCATCAATACCATGCCTTGTCCAATTTGATTCACATTAAAGATGTATTTGCATCTTGCTATCGGTTATGGGAAGAGTTTAATATTCCAAAGTTCTAACACCGAGAATAGCACGACGACTTGGCAAAAGCCACAATTTTCTGGAGAAACCCATCTTAATAGTCATTTGCAAATTGAACTCTTTCATTGACTCTCACGTCCGTGAACTAAGAAAGCGTGGATGCCGTGTTACTTCACTGTCAAACGAAGAGGACGAGAAAGCAATACTAGATGGAGAGTTTACATTCGCATTTTGTAATCCCGAGTCTATTATTCGAAATGCGAAATGGAGAGGAATGGTTTCATTTGAAATCTACAAAACAAATTTGCTTGCTTTTGTATTAACAGACAAAGTTCACGTCGGCCCAAAGAGGTGTGTTTAATAAATTTATAAAATACAGATTTTTTTGAATGTATATTGCAAGATTAAAGTGAATGAATATAAATATATATATGTTATTTACCGGATTGGAGGTCCGTATGGAGAAATATTTCTCGAGGTCTTAAAAACGGCCCGAGGCCGAAGGCCGAGGGACGTTTTTAAGACCGAGAGAAATATTTCTCTATACGGACCGACCATACCGGTAAATAATATTTTTATTTTTTTTTAATTCTCCTCTCATAAATTCATATTCCCCCAAATAAAACGTCGTTTCTATCAATGCTAGGAAGAGTAATATCTTCTGTGGAATAGTAAAATTCACTTTCACTGTGTTCTTCATCGTCTGCAGACATTTTAATGTTAAAAAGCAGCCTTAAATAAGCGCGTCTTTAAATTTTCAAAAATAAAAACATTGCCTCTACGGCTTTAAATCTCGCGCGGTCCGTACGGGCTGGCATGTTGTAAAACCTGGACTGGACTGGACTTGTAAAACCTGGACTGGACTCATTTGTAAAACATAGACTGGACTCATTTGTAAAACATGGACTGGACTCATTTGTAAAACATGGACTGGACTCATTTGTAAAACATGGACTGGACTCATTTGTAAAACATGGACTGGACTCATTTGTAAAACATGGACTGGACTCATTTGTAAAACATGGACTGGACTCATTTGTAAAACATGGACTGGACTCATTTGTAAAACATGGACTGGACTCATTTGTAAAACATGGACTGGACTCATTTGTAAAACATGGACTTGCACAAAACTATACTAGTCAAAAATAGACTGTGACAAAGGGTGGCCACAGGAGGTCAAATTTTTAAAATATGGCAGCCATATATATTTTTCTTTTCACAGTATTCAATTTTAGGTTTTTGAAATGGAAGAACAGTGTTTTTTTAACTAAATATGGGTCATTTAGTGCCTAAATGAAATGTAATTATTTTATTAAACCGGTAAGTATATATTACTTATATTATTTATGTGTAGAGTCTGTAAGACACACCACTACTGTAGCGGAGACTTCAACACAGCAGTCAACACAGCAGGGGTCATCCTAAGGCATCCCATTTTTCAAAATGTGCAGTTCTAATTGGAAAATGAGTAGCTCTAAATCCTAAAATGGGCCGTTCTAAAATTGAGTTTTGTAGAGAAATGCTGAACTTCTAAACATTCAATAATCAATATTTAAAAGATTATCTACAAAGAAAAAGGAAATATCGATGAAGTGAGCGATTTAATTAAATTATAGTTACTATTACACAGATTTCTGATTTCAGAAAATGCACCATTATAATCTTTTGTAAATCTAATTGAGAGACCTCAATTTCAAAATTTTTCAGGGGGAGAGCTATCCCCGGCACCCCTAGAAGGTATAATGCCCACAACACACACTGCATCTGGAAGCAGCTATGAAATTGGCAGTTCTAGATTTTTCTTAGGATGACCCCTGCAACACATATGTGATATATAATGTTCTGTCACCTTATTATATATAAAAATTGGCAGAACCAGTTTAGTTTGTTTGAGTGATATTCTCTTTGTTTAGCCCCCCCCCCCAATAAGCACCCTTTCTAATAATCCCCCTTTTAGGTGAAGATTTTTATTAAGCTCCCCCCTCTCTTTATTAAGCCCTGCCCCAGGTTAATAGAAAATATGTGTTAACACATCATACATGTCAGACATATGTCACGAACATCTTAAAACATATATATAGCCGAATAGTTGAAAAATATATAGTTCAACATCTCATTAATTAAAACCCTTGTGTTAAAATTGTTAGAATACATAGTCATTTTACACACAATTTTTTGTGCTGGAGGAAAATTATCATATAATTTTACCAAGAAACTATGCATGCGCCCCTCTTAAATAAGCCCCTCTCTCAAATAAGCCCTCCCCCCTCAAAGGGCCGGAAAAGAATAATAGAGGGAATACGGTATCACAAAAACTAAAAATACTTTACCTTATTCACACTTAAGTTTGCACTAGTCACTAGTTATAGTATCACTGTAACAATTCTCAATCCTCACAAGTATAATTAAGAAAAGATTAATAAAAAGTAGCCTAAAAAAACTTTTAAGGAGCCAATACTAGTTGACTTTGACTTTTAGTTTTATAATGGTAAAATTGAAGAAAATAGTGCCGGCCCGGTGAACCACATTGACTAGCAGAAATATTATAAAATGTACTTATTCCTTAGCTACTATATTAGCTACAGAATATATCATTCTAGATAAACTGTACAGTAATTGCAGTTGTTTTCATCCTAAGAAAAATTTAGAACTGCCCATTTCATAGCTGCTTCCAGATGCAGTGTGTGTTCTGGGCATAAGCCTTCTAGGGGTGCCGGGGGTAGCTCTCCCCCTGAAAAATTTTGAAATTGAGGTCTCTCAAATGGCATTTCCAGCATTCTGAGAACAAATTTGGGGGAAAATTTTAGGTTTACAAAAGATTATAATGGTGCATTTTTTGAAATCAGAAATCTGGGTATAGTATCTATTAAGTCGCTCACTTCATCAATATTTCCTTTTTCTTTGTAGATAATCTTTTAAATATTGATTATTGAATGTTTAGACACTTTCATGTTTGGAAGTTCAGCATTTCTCTCCAAAACTCAATTTTAGAACTGTGAACTACCCATTTTGAAAAATGTGAGGCCTTAGGATGACCCCTGCTGTGTTGACTGCTGTGTTGACTGGTGTGTCTTACAGACTCTACACATAAATAATATAAGTAATATATACTTACCGGTTTAATAAAATAATTACATTTTATTTAGGCAATAAAAAAACACTGTTCTTCCATTTGAAAAACCTAAAATTGAATACTGTGAAAAGAAAAATATATTTGGCTGCCATATTTTAAAAATTTAACCTCTTGTGGCCACCCTTTGTCAGAGTGATCATAGTCAATAGGTTTCTATTTTTGACTAGTTTAGTTTTGTGCAAGTCCATGTTTTACAAATGAGTCCAGTCCATGTTTTACAAATGAGTCCAGTCCATGTTTTACAAATGAGTCCAGTCCATGTTTTACAAATGAGTCCAGTCCAGGTTTTACAAATGAGTCCAGTACATGTTTTACAAATGAGTCCAGTCCAGGTTTTACAAATGAGTCCAGTCCAGGTTTTACAAATGAGTCCAGTCCATGTTTTACAAATTCCATTGTTCTGAGTCCAGTCCATGTTTTACAAATGAGTCCAGTCCAGGTTTTACAAGTCCAGTCCAGTCCAGGTTTTACAACATGCCGTACGGGCTCATACGGACCGCTCGCGTAGCCAATCAGATTGCAGAAAAGCGTAAAATATGATTTCGGACCGCAAGAAAAAAAATAAATATTTATATTAAATTGAATAGATGTGATGTTTTAAATTGAATGAAATTCAGGAGAATGAATATTGCTACAAATGGGCAGGCATACACTGGACAGTAAACATGCGATAAAACCCTGTCACAGAATAAAGATCAGTACCAGAAGGGCCACTCAGCGGTGCAACGTGTCGCCATTTTTCTATGCAAAAATATGCAGTTGACTGGCCAGAAGGCGGGGCCTTCGGCCAATACAGCGCGTTTATTGGCCAGAAAATGTAATCGACTGGCTAGGAAGATGGCGGCCAGGGTGACAGAAACTTCAAAGCTTCCGACGTAAGTGGCCCTTCTGTGTGCCTTATTCTGTGACCCTGTCTAGACGACCTGGCGTCAAGGATAATGATTGGATAATATTTTTAGAATATGATGCATTAAGCCATTATACATTTTTTGCATTCTTTATCCGAACCAGGAATCGCTAACAAATTCACCAGAGGTTTTTCCTTTTCCTTCGCGCGTCTTCTCGCATTTTGCGTTCGCCAAACCTAAAAAAACCTCTGGGCCAGGGTAGGGGGGAAGGGGCGGAGGCAAAAAAATTCAAATAGGTTAAAATGGGGCCATCAATTATAGTGAGTTTGCCCAAAGGAGTGAAATGGAAGGCCACATTTATAACATTAACTTTTAATTTTTACCCTAACTTTAACCACACTAGCTACGAAGGTCAGTCTGATTATGTAAATGTAACTACACATTTTGGTGACTATCCAAGCACCATTTTCTGCACTTTTGG